AAGCGTGAGAGTGTTCACCATGTATTCCAAAATTGGACTTGCCGGTGGAAAGGAACCGGACTGACGCTCCCCAGAATGGATAAGGAGCCAGGACCATAAGGACCTGTTTCAACCAAAAAAAAAAAACAAAAAAAAAAACAGTGCTACACGGAACTTACACCCCTTCAGCTGTCTTTTTGCTTTATGTGGGATCGCGTGTGTGTGCCTTGCGTCGGATGTATGTGAGCAGCCCTACAGGACTGAGTGCTGTATTCTTTGGAGATCGTAATGCCTAATGCCATTTCTTCCCCCCCAACCAAACCAAATAGGCAACGCTGAAAAACAAAAGAGAGCTCAGATTTTTGGGGCTATTTTCCATGGGCGCCGAAATGCCCCACCCACCACGTGTACGAGTGCCGTGAGGGAAAGGTGAAAAGAACAACCCTAAGAAAGGGAGTGAAATAGAAAACCACCCTGAGACCCGATGCAATTCAACCAGTCGACGGCTGCAAAATGCATCATCAATCAATGGGTGATGGATCTGCAAAGGTTTACGGCGTACGAGTTGACCTGGCTGGGAGACCTGCCATGCCAGCTGACTCAGGCAACCGCCAGGTCACCTAGTGTTTTTTCCATTACGAGTTATGATCCCAGCGGCATTCGAACTCATGCCCTGTTTACTAGCAGTCACATGCGTGAACCATTTGAGCAGCATCACCGATGGCATGTATCTGTGTTGTTGTCTTAACATTCTGTTCACTAAGGGTGTACTCACACTACCGCTTTCTTGGCTCAGCTCTGGACATGATTGCGGTGAGATGCATCCAGGTTCAACCATAATTCACGTGTGTACCACTCAGTCACACGGTTTGATGACGATGACTAACCATCGTCACCCAGATAGAATCCCCGGCCATTTTTTGTTAGCGGTATTCGGTGCAGGTTTCAGTCTAGATACAGCGATAGTGACCAGGGTGTTCTATTCGGCCGAAAAAAAAGACAAGTCGTATGTATCTCTGTGTTTCATCATCTCTCCAATGTCTCCATCCCTCTTTTTTTTTTTTTTTTTTTTTTNTTTTTTTTTTTTTTTTTTTTTTTTTTTAACTTGTTTGTGATCTGCACTGAATCTCTGTGAATCTAGGTGTTGGACTATGGCTATGAAGATAAAGTGACCAACGCAAAGAAGAAGCAGGAGAAGAAGGGAGAGAGCTTTGAGAAAACTGGAATCTGTTTTGGACCTGGATTCAATTTCAATGGCTAAACTTCACCCTGGGTTCGATGCTGCTCCAGTGATGGCTGCAGAGCTGGTACGGCTTGCGAGATGTGGCGATGACGATCAAGAAACAAATGTCCACAGACCTGACAAGCTCAGGTAATGCTGCAGAAAGCACTGCATCCAATTCAATCTCTTCACCAAGCCAAGCCAAACCCGCCTCCATAATCCCGTCCCCCCAACACCAACCTCTCCTCTCCTCCCCCACTTGGAAAACCTACGCCTTTGCAACCAGTGTACCTGACACTGCTGTCCTTTCCCGCCCCACCCTCCCCCCCGCGAATGATTTCATTCTGTTTGATTGTATTTGTGTAGTTCCACTTGGGATGTGAACTCGGGTCTGTATTTCAACAGTTCATGGGTGTACCAAACTGAGGTAGGCCCATCAGTACCAGTGTGCAGCTGTTCTCTCTGCTCGATATTGAATTGTGGTGTCGTGGCAAGTCCCATATGCTTGTCGTTAAAATTTCCGTACACTTATAAAAGTTGCTAATGTGAGAATTTTGGCACCGGCCCGACGGCCCGGATTGCCCCGCGATCTTAAGATTTTAAGATCGCGCGGCGATCCAGGCCGTTCGCGGTCCTACCAGCCCGGATTGCCCCGCGATTTTAAAACTTTAAGATCGCGGTGCATTGTGCTTTGAGCTTGGTACATGACTATCTGGTCTCCAGAGTGATATTGCAATTTGGTTTTCTGTCTATCGCTTTCGCCCGTTGTGCTTGCAAAATTTTCCAAGTGGGTGCGGGTGACCACTGATCCAGGCCTGCGACCCCTTTTTTTTTTCTGGGTGCCTATTTTCCCCATGCGGTGCACGGATCCGGTGCACTCGCGTGCCATACGTGCGGAACTGCCCGCAAGGAGTGCGCTTGCAAGCATGGTTTAAATCTTATGTGAACATGGGATTATATGTATATATCTTATATATTCTATATATTCTGTTTGACGATATACATCCATGTGTGTAGAGGACTGTCTCTCTCTCTGTTACATGCTGAGCCTGCACACAGGCCCCGTTTTGGGGGCCCGACGCTTGCTGGGGGCCCCCAGGCCGCACGCCCCTCAGGTGCGCCCTGGAGGCCCACGACCGGCCTTAGGGCTGCAGGTTTCGATTTGAGGCAGCATTCATTTATTTATTTATTTGCTGTCCTATTTTTGTCTGTTCAGGCATCGTTTCGGACTTGCAGTTCGTCCGAACAGACCGGAGCCACACTTTGGGCCTTGTTCGCTCGCAGGCAGGCCCTTGTGGGCCAGGTTCGTGTTCGTCCAATAGCGGATGTCCCTGCTGCATCAGTAGGGAGGGTCTGGACGTCCGGTCGGGACGCAGATCGAGTAGGCCGTTTCAGGCCAGGACCAGGTTCACGCCGGCGAGGCCCAGCGCTACATATAGCTGGGCCAGGCCAGGGCAGACACAGTTCGAGTAGCTCATTTCTTGGGCGACACGCTGCTGGAGCAGCGCGACACAGCGCTGCGTTAGAGTTAGAGGTGTAGATAGAGCGAGGGAGGCGGAGGCCATACCTGCAGCGGCGGTACTTACCTGGGCGCCATGGCTGGGCTCTGCGCCAGCGAGCTGCACAGGGGCACCACACGGTCAGTACATGGTGGCAGTTACCCGCAGGTGAGACAGCGAGGAGGACGACATCTTCTTCTTCTTCGTCTTGCCCTCCATCTCTTCTCCCTCCTTCCTTCTTCTTCTTCTTCTTCTTCTTCTTCTTCTTCTTCTTCTTCTTCTTCTTCTTCTTCTTTCAGAGAGAGAGAGAGAGAGAGAGAGAGAGAGAGAGAGAGAGAGAGAGAGAGAGAGAGGTTCCAGGCAGAGGTTACATTGGGCATGAGGCCCAGGATCTGATTCGACATTTTTTTGGCAGACATTGATTGGACATTCGGCAGGGAGATTATTTTTGGACTTCACTGTCGCGATCTTGGTCTTCTCCCTCACCTCCATCTTCGTCTCACCTCTCCCCCATCTCTTCATCCATGGTATCTCCCCCATGTGCGTGTGCAAGGAGGGACCTTTCTTCTATGGATGTGGTCCCTCCTCCCTCTCTCACATGTGTGGTGTATGATGGGATGTCGCGTCTGTCTCTGATAGGTCAGGTCATATCTTTGAGTCTTCCGCTGCGCTACATTGTGCTATTTTCATATGTATCTGGATGTACATTGCTTGTTGATGCTTTGCTGACACTGCATTGTCCATTCGAGTCCTTTTCATCACTTTGTGGATCCTTGGCTCCCCATACATCGCTTGACTGAGCATGGATCTCTCTCTCTCTCTCTCTCTCTCTCTCTCTCTCTCTCTCTCTCTCTCTCTCTCTCTCTCTCTCTCCCCCCACGCGCGGACAGCTTTTGTTAAATTGAATAATGATAAGAATGAATGGTTTCTGTTACATGCTGTGCCTGCAACAGGCTGCACGGGCCATTTCCAGGCCCATGACGTTTTCAGGCCAAAAGCCTGAAAACAAGGGCCTACAGGCCCTGTGTCATTTCAGCCTGAAAGCCTGAAAACGAGGGCCTACAGGCCCTGTGTCCTTTCAAGCTAAATCAGGGCCTTTCCGGCCCTGAGTGTTTTCAGCCTGAAACTGAGGGCCATTTCCGGGCCCTCATGAGTTCGGCCTGCCCCGAAACTCAGGCACCAGACCAGGGTTTTAGCTCAGGCCATTTCTGGCCTATTTTCAAGACAACCTTTATTTGAGCTTCAACCCCAGGGTCTGGCACGTTGAGGCATTGGTAAGAGCAGCCTCCTGAACGGGCCAGCAATATATAGGACTGGCCCGCCCTGCAGGCAGGGAGGTAGTTCATATGGACTTCCCAGGCACTTCACGTGCAGTTCAGGAGGCAGGAGGTAGTCTTCAGGATTCGGCAGCAGCACTCTGGGGGAGCGCTGCAGGAGTAGTTGTAGCGTTAGCAGTAGTCTTCAGCGCTGGGCGCTAGTAGCGTTAGTTGTGGTCTTCAGCGCTGGGCGCCATAGCTAGAGTAACACTAGAGAGAGAGAGATTGGGCGGAGGCCAGGGATACTTACCTGCAGCGCCGTTGCTCCAGCTTCGTCTTTGAGGTACCTGCAGCACAGCGCCATCTTCACAGGTTAGTACCTGGCATACAAGAGAGAGAGAGAGAGAGTTCTTCTTCATCTTCTCAGTCCACCATCTCCCTCTCACCCTCTCGTTATCTGACTTCACTGCATCAGCAGACTATGAGAAGAGAGAGCGAGAGCTTGGTGACATTTTGGATCCAGACTCGACATTGGACTTCAGACATTTTGACAAGGGATTATTTGGGACTTGTAACGAGACTCGGTGTTGACGACTTTCCCATCTCCCCCCTCCTCTTCGTCTGATTCCCTCCTCTTCGTCTGTGCATGTCTGGACCTGGCGCCCTCTTCCTGTGTATAGCGCCAGGCCCCTTCACACCGTGTGGTGAGAATGATGTATGTTTGGTCTGTTTTGCAACATTGATTGGGCTAGTCATTAGTATTCTAGTATTCTGCTGCGCTATCTTGCACTACGTGATAGAGGTCAGTCCCGGTCAGGTCAGGATTTGTATCTAAGTCTTCCCTGCGCTATCAAGCACCATTTTTGTATGTATCGGAATGCACATTGCTTGTTGAGATTCCACTTGCACTGCATTGTCCATTCAGTCCTTTTTATCACATTGCGGATCCTCAGTTTTACATGTACATCGCCCAACTGGGCATGTAACAGTTTCAGTGTGCTCTTCATGTTTTCCTTGTGTATTTTCCTTGTTTGTTTCGCAAAGTGGTCTCTTTTAGTTCTGTTTGTGACGATATATACTACGACTTCGCTAGCTTCCTGCTACGGTTTTTTCCAGTCAGGTCGAGCGGCAGTGGTCGGGGCCGTTACTAGGCGGCCATGCTGTGCCTCTAGTGCCAGCGGCGTGTCTGGAGTGT